TGTTCCTATCATTGACAGCATTATGCTTCAGGATAAATCTTGAAACATTTTTTGTGATGATGTATGCCACACTATTCCTCTTTGTCATTCCTGGCATAGTAAATCATATGGCTGTCTGATTCAAAATGGCCAAAATCAGTCCATTTCAGCTAGTAATGCCTAAGCTATCTTTCTGTGTTCCATTTCATTTTTGTCAACTTCCAGTTTTCCTAGATTCATAATTCATGCATTCCATGTTCTGATTATTAATGGATGTTTGCAACTGTGTCTTCCTATTTTGAGCTGTGCTACATCAGTAAATGGAGGTCCCAAAAGCTTTACTCCATCCACGTTATTAAGGTTGACTCTACTTTGAGGAGGAGGCAGCTTTCCCCAGTCATATTCTGAATGCCTTCTGACCTGAGGGGTTAATCTTCCAACACTATATCAGACAATGTTTCAGGGCTATTCATAAAGTTTTCCAGAACATATCAGTGTTTCACTGCTATGCATAAGGTTTTCACTGGCCAATTCTTTGAGAAGTGATGGTCCCTTCCCTCTTCTGAGTTTGTCTTAGTCTGGATACTCCACTGAAACTTGTCCACCATGGTGACCCTGCTGGCATTTGAAATACCAATGGCATAGCCTCCAGCCTCCCAGTAGCATACAAGCCACCACAGTACAACAAACTGACAGATGAATGGTGGAAATGAATCCTTCTCGCTTGGGAATTTGTTCGTATCTTCAGGGTTTACTGCAAATCTCTGGGCCTTGGTTCTTGACAGATGTCTAGTGAAGACCATCTTTAGCAGAAATGTACTACATTAAATCATTTTAACATAGTAATGAATATAAATTTATTTCCAGGTTAATTAATTATAACTAAAGAATAAGGGGAGAAGTGATACAGGCAGGTAGATTGAAAGGAGTCAGGAGAGGACTAAGGTGGCAGATTGTGGTTGAGATGGACGCACCTTTAGAACTAATATCAGGTTCCAGATGAGGATTGTAAAAACAGTTCATTTTACCCAAGCTGCTCCAAAGTCTTTGTTAAATCCAACATCTGGGCCCACTCAAAGAAAACTTACATGAACTGTCTTTTATACAGAGTATGAGACAATGCTTTCCTTTTTCTTTGCATGTCTGGTATTTTTGGTTGGAAGAAAACACTGTACATATTATGTTTTACCAGCTGAATTCTGTTGTAGCCTTCTGAGGATTATTGGGTTTTCGTTCGACTCAACGGCACATAACAATAACAACAACAACTTTTTTTAATTTAACTACAACCATTGACTTACCCATGGTATGCAACAATCTCTCCTCTGTTCTTATATGTTTCTACCACTGCTTTTTAAGCCTTTCCTCTTGTAGTTTCCTCTTATGCATGTGAAATCTGGCAATAAACCAGGATTTGGGCAGAAACGGGATCACTCACTCTGATATCCTTGCTTTTAGGAACTCCCTCGATTTCCACATGTTCTGTCACTTCGGGTTCTGACATTTCAAGCCTTCTGTTGCCTTAGCTGTGCACTGTTAGAGAATGTACTCAGTTTTAAGAAAAGCACTAAAGTCACAGGTATGAGCCCCTGTCACTTTATGTTTCAAGAGTAGATTACTCTCAGGTCTCCATCAGCTTTTTTGCTGTGCCCCCTCCTATATACATGCACAGTTTAGCTGTGAGTCAGGGATTTAGGATTAAATTTACGTTCTGAAAAACTTCTGCAGTTTCTGCGCTGCCAAGACATTCACATAAGATGCTTTACCAGCCCTGAAGACTAGACTCTGGTAACTGTAGCTGCTAATGCTCATCATTTTTCCTACTAGCGTGTTTCATTACAGTTGTAGCTGTGGGGATGCACAGGACCCTTGGGGTGGTAAGCCAAGATCACAATTCTTACGGCTTTCATTTGCAAGATTTTGAGATTAAACTTTTCGTGGGCTTCTGTTTTGGATGCTTTAAGTATCTTAAAATTTAATTATTTTGAACTTTTTGTTTGTTTTTAATCTAGTTTTTAAATTGTTCTCCTGGAGAGTCACATGGCTATTCATTCCTCTGCTGTGAGCCACCAATTCCAAGAATAAAGGTTTATGTTTAGTTTCCTACCTTAGGTTAACCTGACTTCTTTCTTCCTTGTGTTAAGATACCATATGAATATGCTGAATGGTGACCAGATTCTGTCAACTATTATTTGCTATCTACTCATTAAATCCCTTTATCTTCCTGCTCTTTAGGAGAGCAGGCATTTCAAAACATTTTCAACAACAGCTTACCCATTTCATCCTAAAAAGCCTCAGATATGCTTGAGGTCAGCAGTGATTCATCTATGGAATAGTTTGTAGTTTTTGGTAAGTAGTTCAAGTTTGACTAATTTTGTTACTCTCTTTATAAATGCATCCAGATTTTGTGTAGCCTGGAGCTTACAATTCAGAAAGCCATCTTTTGGTACTTTTTCTGAAGAAAAAGTAAATAAAAAATTATGAATACAAACTTGCTAGAGCCCATCCCAGGCCTTATTCAAACAAGGAGTCCTAAGGCCCAGCATCAGTAGTTTCTAAATCTGCTTCATCTACTTATCAGAAGTTCTGAAAAATAGAATGTCTTATAAATACAAAACACTTCACAGTTTAAAGTTGTTTACATGTACACGCACTCTCAATCAATACTTGCATTTTTGATACTATAGTGTATCAACAAATGTTTATTAATTGAATTAACTTTTAAACAGTTTTCAATCTTATGGAATCCCTATTTAGTGAAGATCAAACTGATGACGTGCCTATTTATATTTCTGCATTTGGGCAAACATTTAACCAGCACTGGCTTGTCTCTAGTTTCACTTAAAGCTTTCAATCAATATCAGCCTTGATTGGCTTGCTTGAAACAGTAGTTTTGCTTGGGTAAAGTGTACAGTTTTAAAAACCCTCACCTGGAACCTAGTATTAGTTCTAAAAATGCTTCCATGTCAATCACAATCAGCCAGCTTAGTCCTCCCCTAAGTCCTTTCTATCTCTCTGTCTAAATCACTTCTTCTCTTGTCCTTTAGTTATAATAATTAACTTGGAAATAAATTTCTACTTTTTTACTATCTTAAAATGATTTAATATAGTACATTTCTGCTGAAGATGGTTTTACTAGGCATTTGTCAAGAACCAAGGTCCAGAGATTTGCAACAAACCCTGAAGATATGACCAAATTCCCAAAGGCTAAGGATTCATTTGTGGCCTCACCTCCCTTATAATTAGCCATGTAGTAACTGTGTTTTTTTGTCAAAGACACACTGCCAAGTTTTTAGCTCAAGGATCAACACTGTGTAAGAGAATCTAATTTCAGAGGGCAATACAGATCTGTTTTCAGTTTGAAGTACTAGACTTATCACTCACAACAATTAAAGCTCAATCACTATGTTGTTGTTGTTGTTGTTATTTGCCCTCGAGTAGGCCCTGAGTAGGCCGTAACTCATAGCGACCCCTCCTTGGGTTTCCAAGGAGGGGTCTCCGAGGCAGTATCACTAGAAGTAGGATTGCCCAACCTACCTTCCAAGGAGTTTGAACCGCCAGCCTTCTGGTTAGCAGTCAAGTGCCTTCGGCACTATGCTACCAGAGCTTCCTCAATCACTATAGACAGAAATTATCTTAGAATAAGAGTAGATCAAGACACAAGAGAAAAGGTCTCAGTAACAGAAGTAGAAAATGTTTTTAGTGAAGTCATAAAGCAACAAAATGATTTCTGAGCTTGGTCCATCCTTGCTTTCCATCCTTGAGATCACCTCAAGTCCAACTTTATACTCAAAATGAACACACTTTATTTTAAAGGATGTCATTAAATTAGGAAAGAAGGGGAGGAGGAAGGGCTACACTCAGCTATTACCCTGGGTTAATGCATAGACTCGTAATGCCCTCTCCTTGAGTTTCTGAGGCGGTATCTCTACAGAGGTAGATTGCCCCATCTTCCTTACGAGGAGTGGCTGGGGAGTTTGAACCACCAGCCTTCTTGTTAGCAGTCAAATGCCTTAGGCACTATACCACCATAACTCTTAATGCACAGATACTTCTTCAATATTTGCAATACAATGATGATTAAAAAGTAATACAGAAGGAGGGAAAAATATTTTTAATTATTACCTGACCAATACAACATGTTATAGCTGTTAATTTCATCACAAGTTATCTAAAACTTTAAAATCCTTTACAGAGTTTTAGAATTCAAAGATTCATGAAAGAGTTGTAAATTTTATTCTTTGGCTTTTTAAACTTCTTCAAGTACAACTTAACTTCATTAGATAACCAAGGCTCATGCTGTATATGGGAATAAATATTAGATCTTTGCAACCAAAACACAGAAACTAAAATTAGTCCAAAATACACATAGTCATTTCTTTTACTAACACCATTTGTATACTCACATGCATATTAAGACCTGGCTGCTGCTAATCATAATTACATAATGTACCTACTTAAACTATAATTTCAAATACTTCCTCTTTACTCACAACTTTTTAAAATTCAACTGTTTTATCTATATATTTGTTCAGTGTGTAAGGCATACTATTTAGTTAAACATCTTATTAAGAATAATCCACATCACAGTTACCAAGATCAAGTTAGAGAACTGGTTTCTTAAATTGGGTTGTTTTTTTTTCTTTTTTTTTTTAATTAGGATTTGGGTGAAGATTTACAGAGTAAATTCACTTTTCATACAGCAGTTCACATATACTTTGTCTCATGTCATTGACCAAAATTTACAATGCAGCAGCTCCCCTCCCACTTCCTCCCCATAGTTACCTCCTCCCAGTGTCCATCCCTTCATACTCTTCTGCACCCTGAGCTATCTCACTGTGCATAAGCAGCCCTTCCTTCTCCCATGATTGTTCTCTCCAGGGCGTAAATTGGGTTGTTTTAATACAGTTTGTTATCTTTAGACTAATCTGGAGGAAATGTACACTGTATATATAGTACCTAATCACAATTAGTTTACTCTATTCTTTACAAAAATCTCCAAAGCTAACAAATACAAATACCTTAAGGAAATAGGGCTCATTCTGACAAACTTCACTGGTATCCTGTAAAGCCTGCTCATAGTTCTTCGTGTTTAAATTTAACTCTGCTCGCAACAGCAATAATGAATTATCACCAGGAACTGAAAGACAAGACGAATAAAAATGACTGTATTTAACAACAAATTATATTTAAGTCATTAACAATACTAAATTAAAAAAATAAATATAAAGGCAAAATAAGAGATAATTGCTCCTTCCAGAGTTTGGTAATATGATAAATACATTTTACAGAACTTCTCTCAGGAAAACAGATAAGCAAGAATTCAAGACGCACTAAGAAAAACATGCTAACC